TTGTAGTTTGTTGTAACTACACGTTTAAAGAACTTAAAATATCTATGTAGTGTGAAAAAGAGGATGTAAGAGTCAAACGTAGAAGTGCATTGTCATCTTTTAGCAGTCTGGTGACTGAGGAGATGAACACTGGAAGTGTGTTTGCATCACGCACATTAGCTGGTAGTCTATTCCAAATGACTGAAAACTTATTTAAGAAGAAGTTGTACCGCACGTAAGTCTGACAGTGCTCTATGGCAGCTAGGTTGTGATGATTTCTAAGATTGTAACTGATGACAGCGGTAGGTTTAGTTATTGGCTCGGAGGAATGCAAGAGAAGATTAGTTAGCTGGTAGTAAAAGATAAGGTTTAGCTTAAGAGGTCTTTTCCAGAGTGGTTCTAATCTTAGTCTGTCGCATCGCTCATGGTATTCCAGACCACTTTCTAAACCAAGAGTTCTTGAGGTAAACTGCCGTTGCACTCCCTCTAATTTAAGCTTGTCATTTTGTCTGAATCCGCTAAGAATAAACGGGCAGTATTCTAAGATAGGTCGGACACATACTTTGTATAATAAAACCCTAGTTTCACAACAAAAGAAATTGCGTGTTATGCAGCCTTCGTGTTTTACGTCTGGCATAATCAGTCTGTTCAGCGAACGTTAGGTTACTAGAGTATCTAATACCGAGATCTACGACTGAGTTGAGCTTAGCTAGTTTTCGCCCATTTATTTCAAGAGTTAGATCAAGGTTACTGTTGCCGATACAAATCCAGCCGCATTTGTCAATGTTAAAATTTAGACAGGATTCAGCACACCATGTTGCGAGACTACTTAGTTCAAGATGTATTTTATTTACCATATCGCTTAATTCATGAGTGTAGCAGGAGTAGACGACTTTGAGGTCGTCAGCATATAGGAATGGTTTACCTGAGGTGAAGCACTTGCAAATGCTGTTAATGTAGACTGTGAATAAAAGTGGACCTAGGACACTACCTTGCACAACCCCACTTGAGATCTGCCTAGGATGAGACAATACAGATCCAACTTTGGTTATTTGTACCCTGTTGCTTAGAAATGATTTTAACCAGTTCAGTAATGGGTTGCGAATTCCACAAGAGTACAGCTTCTCAAAGAGAATACTGTGAGATACCATGTCAAATGCCCTAGATATATCGAAGTAGAGAACAACGACTAGCTTACGTGCTTCGCGACTACTAGTGATGCAGTTGAAAAAGTCGAAGTGGCAAGTAACGCAGGATCTATTTTTGAGAAATCCGTGTTGAGACCTTGTAACAAGATCTTCCCTAAGTAGGTAGTCTGACAATTGATCTTTCACACTTTTCTCCATGATTCGTGAGATAACTGGGGTTATATTTATGGGTCTGTAATTGCGGACGTTTGCCTTATCACCAGATTTGTAATGTGGAATTATGAAGCTAGTTTTCCACTCACTAGGGTAAGTGCCAGTGTCCATAGATATTGAGAAGAATTTAAGAAGTAACAGAGGTATATCACACCCACTGTTTTTGAAAATTATTGAAGCGAGGCCATCCGGTCCCGTACTAGTGGAAGGTTTAAGGCTTTTAATTGCTTGTACTATTAATTGGTTAGTGAACACAATGCTTCCAAGGGAAGAGCTAGTAACGAGGGCGGTTTCACCGGGGATGCGTGTATCTAAACTAAAGTTTGCAAACCAATCACTGAAAGTTCACAGATGGTGGCAGGCTCATTGTAGATTACTTTGTCGTGAAGTAAATAGGGGATTTCCCTCGTCGACTGCATTCGGTTTTTAAGAAGTGTCGTTAAGTTATAAACTTTGGAGGTACTTTCAAGTGCCGTTAACTCTTCGTCGAGGTCCTTTTGAGAGCGTAGGCGCTTGATAAATTCAAGAGACTCGTGGATTGAGAGCAGTAGTGATATATCCTTAGTGGAATAGTACTGTTTCTTCAATTCCTTAACTTATTACGGTGTGCCCTTGGAATATATTCAGCTTGGTGTCTACTTAATTTCACTATTTTCTAAGGAGCAACAGTATCTAGACAAAGGGTAACATTTCTGTAAAATAGGGACACTACAGCCTCCAGGGAGTCAGTGGTAAAATAGTCATCCCACTGACAGAGTCGAATGAGTTCTTGGACTAATCCCCAGTCTGTATATTTGTAACTACGACATATCGTGCTTCCTGAATCTTGTTTGTTTCCTGTATTTAGTGGTGAGAAAGGCAGAGAGCAGAGTACCATTCTATGGTCACTACTGGAAAATCTATTACCAACATATGTGGAGACTGGGATTGTGTCATGACAAAACACAAGGTCCAACATGTTGTCACCACGAGTAGGTGTTTGGACGTGTTGTTGCCATCCATAACAGTTGATAGTGGCAAGTAATTCGTCGAAGCGTTGGGGGCCGGAACTACTTAACCAGTTGACTTCTGAAAGATTGAAGTCCCCTGCAATTATTTTGTAATTAGCACTAAACGAGGATGCGTGTGCAAACGATTTAGCTAATAACACATCAGTTTCTTTGGTTGAGCTTGGTGCTCGATAAACACAGCCTATGAGAAGTTTGTACTTATCTCCATGTAAGACAACCCAGAGTGAGTCAGGTACCTCATTCAGTATTTCATCTTCCACCTTACTGACTACAAATGAGTTATGTATATATATGAGACATCCTCCACCACGCTTGCAATCTCTGTTTGCACGGTGTACAGTGTAATCATCGATACCTATATGCACATCAAGTACAGAGGATGAGCACCATGATTCAGTAATCAGAGCTACAGTAGGCTTGGCGATTAATAATAATATCCTTAGTTCAGATATCTTATTGATTAAGGAACGTGCATTAATTAGCAATATCGTGAATAAGTCACGGGATACTACAAACTGGCTTAAAATGTCACCATAACCTAAATCTATTTGTGCGTCAGCACCGCAAGAGTTTATGAATGAAAGGGGGTCGGACTGGGTGTCTGTACATTGGGCTTGGAGTGCAATGAGGTGGTCCTAGGTGCCATGGGTCGTACCAGTGATTGTAAACACCTGGCTGTACCATGTGTTCCTGGATATAAGGGTAGTAGATGTTGGGCCTAGGTTGACGGTTAAAAGGCATAGCATCAAAAGGTCTACCCATCCAACTGCTATTCGTCATACCGGTACACACCTTCGTGTTGTTATTATAACTTGAAGGAAATTGTGAGGGAAGGTGCTTTGGTTATAAGACTTTAAAGGTTTTGGAGCCTGACTTTCTATGAGGTGGAGCATGCTGAAAACCTCCAGATATACTTGTGTTTCGAGAGGAGTTTTTCGTAACAAGTGTGGGTTTGTTGACATTCTTATTCTCAGCAGGCTTATTGAATACAAAGTATTCTTCCCCATCATTAATCTCAACCCTGCGAAATTTGTTCATCGTGGTGAGGTTCTCAATTTTCGGGGGAAATTTCTTAGAACAGCTTGCAGAAGTTCTAACTATTTTAACATCTTTCAATGAGGCTTTATTCACAGGGGTAGTGGTATCTTAATCAGTTGCTAGTTCCATTGGCAAGCGTGGTTGTTGTGTAGTTTGCTGAATACTAATGTCAGCACTAGGTGACTGTTGATGTGCACGATCCTTTTTTCGTAAATCTAAGCGAGAGGAGGTGACCAGGTTATCACTACGCATTATTCTGCGCCGACCCGGTGTTTTATCCTCAGCTATGGTTATAGACTTATAACTGCCTTTCAGCGTTAAGTGATCCTTACATTTGGCAAACTTACTAGCATCAAGGAAATTACTGAATTTAAAAATGATGGGACAATTAGCCTGGTTTGACTCTTTACGAAGTCTTTTGCATTCAAATAAAACACTAGCCTTGCAGCAACAAATCAGGATTTTGTGTTTTGCAGTCTTCAGAGGCAGAGAATCTGAGACGTTGTAAATTGTATCCTAGTGAGAAGAGGTTATACGCTTCATCACCTCCGCCGCCAAGCAGTCAATCAGATTTTCAGCTTTACTTAGGTTGTCTGGAGGTTGCCTTTTTAATAGACAGGCTATTGGGTCTAAATCCAAAAGCTTGTTTTGAGTTACATCCAGTGAAGTCTTAACCTGGCCAATATCAGAACAGCTCTCCGTGATATTTGAGATTGGCACTGACATGCTATCAAACTGACCTAATTTTTCCTGAAGTTTACTTACTTTCCTCTGGATATCTCTCACAAGGAGGTTTGATTTACAGAACTCAGAGTTCTCTAACAGAACATCTTTCACCTGTATCAAAGGAGTGAGGTCAGCACTAAAACCATTTTGAGAGCTAGTAGTTGATACTGTATTACAGGGCTGTAATGCAGTTATAACCGAATTTGAGCCACTATCTAAAACAAGTGTGCTTCTACGAAAACGCCTTTTAGAGATTCGGACCATAATTTCAAGGATTATATAACAATAAGCAGTAAATCAATTTCACAGCAAACACGTGCAAAAATGTCACCAATTTCGAACGCACCGCCAGAGTCGGATTCACTCACAGATGTCAACTTTGTCGTTGACTGTATGCACAGTTTCCCTGCAAATCTTATCCAAAGAAAGAGAGAAGTGTGAAGATCCATTCCATGAAACCGGACACATGTATACAATTCAACATTTACTATGTACAAAACAGCTAGCGTATTTGCTATTGTTGGAGCACGCCAACATCGTGTTGTATTCACTCAACAACAAAGTGAATGTCATGAACGTGAACGTGTGAAGCGTTTTCGATTGGAGTGAATGTGAATAAATGTGAGGTGAATGAGGAAATCAGGTAGACGCGGGTTGATGAATTCATGATTTTTCGCGTGGCGTTGATATGATATCCTCACTTGAGTGAGTAAGTGTCATGTCAACTGGCCTCATGTGTTTTCCAATAATGAAAGTGAAAGCATTTCCACAAAATAGTCTATGAGGAGAAACCTCCGAAAAATCTAACAGATATCTCATGCGATCATGAGATGCAGAAGTCGAGTAGACCAAGTCAAATTATCAATCACACGAAATAAATGTTTACCTCGAAGTTGTTCAATCACTGCTTCATTATCAATAATCGTCTGAGCTAATCCGGGTAATTCATCTATGAAGAAGAAAGTGGGAAATATATTGAATGAATTACAAGAGAGGAATTTCAGAAGCCATAGGATGTGACGACTCGCCGAGAAACAGTACCCACACAAAAGCTTTTGTAGGATAAAATAAGACAAATTATAAACCCATATAAAGTCAATCGTTTTACCTTTAGACTTTGAGAGCAACTTTTCAATGACTTCTAACTCAGTCGACTGGCCTTGAGAATTGACAAAGTAAAGAGAGCAGTGATTGTTATACAAACCGAAACTTCAATAACACGTAAATACGACGCAAGAATTTGTTCGTTTCAAACACCTGAGGAGCCATGTGAGTATTTCGTGTATTTCTTTGGATGTCTAAAACACGCTAGTTAGCAGAACATCAGGTGGAGTATTCAGCGTCACTGAAAGCATAAAACTGAAATGTTCACTCCACTTCCCTTCCATTTCGGAAATTGAGGGAATAACAACACTGAAATATTGTTATTTAACGGAGGAAAGTGGTGTCTTGTGATGAGAGCAGGCTGCTAGCCGATTGGTTGACAAGGGAAGTACTTCTAATCCAAAAATCTGCTTCACTTGTGTTTTGGAAATTTATTTCAAGGAAGGGAACTCCTGATCACTGTATATGGCTGGAGGCGGAATGTGATCCTCATTGGGCAAAACACGACCGAACCCACTGCCTCGTCCTTCGCCTCTTAGCTGACCTCTTCCCTGACCTCCACGCTCGCCTCTCGGCCTTGCACCTCGTGCGCCACCACGTCCGCGATCAAACCCTCTATTCTCAAATCCTCGACCGCCTCTTCTACGACCTCCAAACTCGTCTGTGAACGAGAAGTCAATATCAATCGGCTGTTGTGCCTCAGGCTCGTTCTCCTTCTCTTCGACCTGTTCACCATCTTCATGAACCTCCTGTACTTTCCTGTGAGCCACCATGTTTGCAAACACATCTTTGCCGTCATTGGCCTTGCGGAGATTCTTGTTGTTTGTGATAACCGCCGGTTTAGCAGACTGACGCATAGCCTTGTACTCTTCCAGCGTGTAGCTTTTAGGTTCCTCTTCAACAGGTGTTTCCACAACGCCGTCCGTCGTCTCTTCAGTCTCCGCTGAGGCACTATCCAACTGTTCGTCTGCCTCAGTATGGTTCTCTTCCCAACGTACAACTTGTTCTGTATCACCACTCTCGGGTGCTGCCTGAGCATCCACATCCTGTGGGTTCCAGTTTCCATCTCTCCTACCATATTGTCTCGGACCTTGGCGATCAGGACCACTCTGATGGTCAAAATCCCGATTTGAGTTGAACGGCATACCACGTCCGCGACCAAACGTTCCCCTTCCTCGGCCTCTTCCACGTCCTCTTGATTCGAAACCAGACCCTCTGGGCGCATTCACATCGCCTGCCAAGTCAAGGGGTGACTCCGTTGGAGCCATCCGTGGACCCTGACCTCTGCCTCCACGCATCCCGCGCAACGCTCCTCTGCCTGATCCGCGGCCACGAACAAAAGTACTGGTCGGTTCCTCTGTCTCCTTCACTGCGAAGTTCTGTGCATCCTCTGATGACACCGGTGGTAGATCTGTGGCACTTGGAGACTTTGGAGGTCGATGGGCAGCTTTCGGGACTGTTGTATCAGCTCTCGCCTCGTTCTTGACTACCGTTTCAACCTTGGCAGGTGTAGTCTGCTGCGGCTGAGCATGAGACTTCTCCTTCTTAGTTTTCTCTGCTCGTTTGGTTTGTATTTTGGATAGCAGGACATCCGGGTCCTCACTATTCAAGGTATCATCCAGAAATAGTGAGAACCTGCTCTTCACCTCGACTGAATACTGGTAGGCGTGGTCAACACCAGCCATGACTACAAACCACACCGTGTGAAAAGGAGTGTGGTGACAGCAGGCTGCTAGCCGATTGGTTGACACTAATCTACGTTAATATGGGCCGTGAGAAAATATGAACAAGGCTGATTCAATAACCAATCACAGCAAAGTTAACGTGGCAAAATATGATTCGCAGATAGAGAACTCTATTTGTCGAGGAATCCCGAAACAACCAATCAGAAGCCTGCGTTTGTCTGCCTAACTTCTGATAAACAACCAATCAGATGACTGCGCTTGTCTATGATAATGTATGTGAAATATGTATAAATACGTGTTGATTTTCATAATAAAACGATCTGTTGCTTCGCCCTTGTCTTCTGTTGTTACATTTGGTGTCGCTGCCTCCAGAAAATGAAGACCCCGTGGCCAGCTGCGTTTGAAGAAGGAGACATGCGGAGCTTCTTACGTGACTTCGAGGCTGTTGCTGAGCTGGTGGGTGTCAAGGAGCAGGTGGCGAAGGCAGTTGTCCTGGGGACGCTGTTGAGAGGCCGAGCGAAGGCAACATATGACAGCGTAGACAGGTCAAATGGCACAGTGTCTTGGAAGAAATTGGTTGAACGACTAGTGTCCGAGTTCGACAGCGCAACAGACAGACAGCTAGCGATGGAGCAGTTCCGGTCAACGAAGCTGGGACCGGATGGAGACCCACTAGTGTTGGCGTTAAAACATGTTAACTCAACGCAGCCGATGGATATTAGTGAGCTGGCGAAGGTGACCAAACAGCTGCTGAGCACAACGGTAGCCGCTATAGACCAACCAAAACCAAACGAATATGAGCAAAAATTGAAGCATTGCAGCGGGAAGTGGCGGCGTTAAAGTTGGCTGATAGAAAAGACCGGTGTTTTGAATGCGGTAAGCCGGGACACTGGAGAAGATACTGCCCAGAAAGGCGAAAAAGAAAAAATTTCAGACGGTATAATGCTTGTTCTTTCTTTCGTATGAACCTAGATTTAGTGGGGGCTATTGAGAAAGGCGCTCTGTATTCGAAGTTGCGAGTGAATGATCGAGAAGTAGTATGTTTGATAGATACAGGGCGGCCGTGTCGTTAATAGATAAGAATTTATGTAAGAGTGTTAGTCCGTGTTCATTGACAGTACAAACAGTAGGCGGGTATGTGTTGCGTATCACGGGTAGATCGAACTGTACGGTCGTTGTTGGTGGCTGCGAGGTGACGTTTCCTTTCATTGTTGTACCCGAACTACAGCGAACGATATTAGGAGCGGATTTTCTGCGTGAGATTGGTGCCATAATCGACACGCAAGCGAACGTGGTGGTCACGAAATACGGGCATATCAACATGTATGAGACCAGCGAGATAGCAGCGATTAAGCTGTCGACGGTACACAATGTGACAGAGTTAATTAATAAATACGATCATCTGTTCACTGGAGATGGGGACCCATACGGTTATTGCGATAAGGTGAATCATGAAATTCCGTTAAGTGATCCGAAAGTAAGGTCATTTCTAACGCGAAGAGTTCCATGTCATCTGGAAGGCGAAGTGGAGCGACAAGTGCAAGAGATGTTAAAAGATGATATTATTGAGGAAGCTGATAGCCCGTACAACTCTCCAGTGCTGTTAGTAAAAAAAGCGAATGGGAAGTATAGATTCTGTGTTGATTTTCGACAGTTAAACAGTATGACAGAGTTAAGACCGTGTGCCATGCCAACAGTGGTAGAAACCTTAGATCGCCTACAAGGTGCGAATGTGTTTTCGGTTCTCGATCTTCGCTCAGGATACTGGCAGATACCGATAAAACAAGGTGATAGAGATAAGACGGCTTTCATCGTGGGTCAGACACAATATCGATTTAAACGCATGCCGTTTGGACTAGCAGGTGCACCGTTTACGTTCAGACGACTGATGAAGCTATTACTTAGGAACTTGAAAAACGTGGAGGTTTATGGTGATGATCTCGTCATATACAGTCAAAACGAAAACGATCACGTCAACCATGTAGAAGCCGTGCTGCGACGCATCGAAGAGTTTGGACTACGCGTCAACAAAACCAAGTCCAGATAGCCAAAAAGAATGTTACTCTGTTGGGACATAAAGTGGGAAATGGTGAGATTAAACCACTGCCGGAGAAAATTTTGACGATTAAAACGATTCCAGCCCCGAATTCAAAGAGAAAACTGAGACAATTCTTGGGTAGAGCAGCGTTTTATAGTCGCTTCGTGAAGAACTTCAATGAGATAGCAGCCCCTCTATACAGGCTACTAGGTGAGCCAAAGTTTGTTTGGTCGGAAGAATCGCAGAGGACATTCGACAGAATTAAACAGCTGCTCGACCACCAACAAATGACGCTAAAACTACCTGTGCCAGGAAGACAGTTCACAGTGTGCACAGATGCCAGTGACTACGCTATAGGTGCGGTCCTAAGACAGGACGAGGGAATCGTTGAGTATGCCAGTAGGGTTTTGACACTACAGAGAGAAAGTATTCAACGATAGAGAAAGAATGTTTAGCAATGGTATGGGCAGTCGACAAATGGAGACCTTATTTACTCGGCCGGCGGTTCCACATCGAAACTGATCATAAGCCGCTACAATTTTTGAAGACAGCGAGAGACCCACGGGGGAAGTTGTCACGGTGGATGTTGCGTCTTCAGGAGTACGATTTTACGATCTCACACGTTCCTGGAAGTGAAAATGTCTTGGCAGATTTGTTATCGAGACCAGAAGATGAGTCTGAGTTGCCCGAGGTCGCTTACGGAGTGCATGCAGTAGAACAAGACCCACTAAGACTTGCACGTAGGCAGAGGTTGGACGATACGCTGAATACAGTAATACAGGTGATCACCAACGGAATAGAAGTGGATCAAACTACGGCGAGTAAGGAGCTAACCACACTACTCAGACAGAGGGATCGACTCAGAGTGAATGCCTACGGGACTCTGACCTGGCGAGAGAACGACGGAAGCTGGCTGGCTGTCATACCTCAATCGTCGCGCCACGACATGATAGAAGAATGTCACCAGCTAGCGCATACAGGCGTGGCCAGAACGACCGACCTCCTAAGACAAAGTATGTACTGGCCAGGTATGAGAGAAGACGTAGCAAGATACGTACTTGGATGTCCACGGTGCCAGCTGATGAAAGGTGACCGGTGATACGACCACCACTTCAGTCGATTCCAGTTACCGCGATAGGTGACTTGTGGTCCGTAGATGTCATGGGTCCATTTCCTCAGACATCCAATGGTAATCAGTACCTCTTGGTGATGACGGAACACGCGACACGATGGGTAGACGCCGTAGCAATCCCAGACCAACGTGCAAGAACCGTGACAGATGCAGTAGTTAGACACATTGTTGCAGACCACGGCGTACCGAAGACAATACTGACAGACCAAGGTCCCTGTTTCGAGAGTGAAGAGTTTACTTCCCGTTTGCAACAGCTGGGCATCAAGAGGATCAGAACGACCCCATACCATCCACAAACGAATGGCCTAACGGAGAGAAACAACCGTACACTGAAGGAGTGGCTGGCCTCGAAGGGCGGGAACTGGGAAACGGAGCTTCCACTGATTTTACTAACACATCGGGCTACCACTCAGGAAACAACGAAGAAGTCACCCTTCCAACTGATGTATGGTAGAAAACCACGATTACCGGTACACAATGAGACCTGGCCCATGCACCAAAAGTGGAGTACGACGAAATTAAAAGCAGAGAGGAAAGAGGCAGTCAAGAATGTAATACGGAAGCAGCGCAGTGATGTCACGAAGTCTCAGATGAAAGAAAGGACGCAGTGCATTACCTTTGCAGTCGGGGACCAAGTGAAGTGTAGAGACAGGAGATATACAGTTGGAGGCGGGCTAGGTTCACGGAAACTCCTTCCAAAGTGGGAAGGACCATACACAATCACAAAAAGACGGGGTCAAGTATATACCATCCGAAGAGGTGATAAACAGAAACGAGTTAACGCCAGTCAGCTCCAAAGATGGGTACAGTGGGACAAGCCGGTCAGTAACAATCCTCAACTAGAGGATGTAGCACCCAGAAGGTCGGAACGTCTGCGCACGAAGCTATTTGACGGGGGGACGAGTGTGGTGAGAGCAGGCTGCTAGCCGATTGGTTGGCACTAATCTACGTTAATATGGGCCGTGAGAAAATATGAACAAGGCTGATTCAACAACCAATCACAGCAAAGTTAACGTGGCAAAATATGATTCGCAGATAGAGAACTCTATTTGTCAAGGAATCCCGAAACAACCAATCAGAAGCCTGCGTTTGTCTGCCTAACTTCTGATAAACAACCAATCAGATGACTGCGCTTGTCTATAATAATGTATGTGAAATATGTATAAATACGTGTTGATTTTCATAATAAAACGATCTGTTGCTTCGCCCTTGTCTTCTGTTACTACAGTCTTAAGGTGATACTGAAAGAAGTGTTTGAGACATAATCAGTTTTCCTTCAGAAATGTGATC